CCCTAACCATTCTATGATTCTATGAATATTTTTTAAATCTTCAGAGGTTATTAAATAGTTCATGTCTGATTTCCTTGAACAAAGATCCAATAGAAGGACCTCAGATCTGAGATTGCAGTCTACTCAGTTTTCTTCTTTTACCCAATCCATAACATAGGAAAGAACTCTTATCATATGACTGGACTGGGCTACAGACAAATTAAAATATGATGCAACAGTGATACAAATAATACAGGCTGATAATTTCTTGTGCACAAGGCTGAACATATTTTTGTTCTCAGATAAACTTAAAAAAAACCCAGAAATAACAAAACAACTGGCATGAATAGTATGTTAAAGTGTGATCAGAGATATTCAGCTAAGCTCTACACAGCCTAGTCCTGGAAGTCTTGCTGCCTTACTGGGGTATTCAGATTTCTACATCTGACAGTAAAGTGACTGATGAACCATAAAAAAAGATGTATGAAGTGTGTATATGAAAAAAGGAATTATGACTAATCTTAGAATGCATTGGCAAATGTTCGCCATCACATTTTTAAATATATTGTGCTTTGCAGGAGGGGGGAGTTGAGACTTTTGAGGCCAAAACAGATTATTTTTGGCACATGTTTATCTGATTTGATATCTTTCTAAGAATGCCCAAAGTATCATAAGCTAGCTACGCTTCCAATACACATAAATTCAAAATATGGTTAAACTTACTCCATGGAAGATTTGGAAGTAGAAATCATTTGTTGAAAAGAACCAAGCCTTCTATCAAGTCACAATCATAAAATCAGGCATAAAACAAACAGGTCATGGGAATGCCTTCATTCTGGTCAAGGATATAAGGGTTAAATCCACGTATTTGTAAGATGATTGAGAAAACCTACTGGAAGCATGATCAACCCAAGGCCGCCACCACAGCTTTTTTTTGCCCTTGGCTTTCTCTTTGTCTGCTTCTCCTAAAATAAAATATGTCCAAACATTAATTTTACAAAATGAGAAACATGTTTCTTACACTGATTAATCATTTTTAATTTTCTCATAAGAGCTAAAATTTCATGAGCATATCAGATTTTAGATCTGCTGAATACATTCAATATTAAAATCATTCAGAAGCACAACCACTATGCAGAAATACTCTGGTTTATACAGCAGTTAAAACAGCATTCTACTCTAAAACAGCTAAAAAGTTCACTTCTGTGTTTTAAACGTACAGTCACAGTTGACTGTAATTTCAAGAATAAAATATTTTTCCTTCTCTCAAATCCCCTTATATTTCAGGCTCCAAAAAGTTTAAATCCAGTAAGTGACGACCCCAAGTCAGTGCTAGAAATATGGCACCAAATAGGAATCATTTTATCTGTTCCCATGTTTTAAACAACATTTTAAAGTACATAAACATTTCAGTGACTAAAAAAAAAAATCACAGCATTCATAAAATGTTGCTGGAAAAATGTGAATGCTACCTATTGGTAACGCTGTGTTTTATAGATAATGACTTTGTTCAAAACAAACTTCTGCTGCTATTCAGCTCTTTGCCAACAACCTGAAATTAACCAAAAGTAACCTTAAAGAAAACCATTTTCTCTAAACCTTCTTGCAGTACAAAATCCCAGAATTTTTTTTGCTGAATCAACTCCACACTGATACTCAGCTAACAACCTTGTTACATGATAACAGTTTTGAAGAACAATTTATCACTTGTCCAACTATTAGGTCTATTAGGTCTTAACACTCAACTGTAATTATGATACAAAAGCTAATGGTACCTTCATCATCATCTTCAGAAACCTTCCGAATCTCTGGCCCCTCTGAGGACTCCTGGGTCATGCTTAGCATCCTCTCTTTACCCTTTTTGTATTTTTGCTGCCTGGCTTTGATGCGATCCATTCTAGCAAAAAGAAGCATTTTATTAGATTCACGTCTTCACTCTTTTTGATCCACCTTGAAAAGCAAGTGTGAAACACGTTCATACACATGCCCTGCCCTCCCACCCACCCCTCCCTCACACCTCTCCCCCCCGCATTTCTAAAGGAAATATCCATTCCATATTGTTATTACTCCTGCCTTTAAACATAAGGAGTTAAATGGCTCTGAAGGGACTGGCTGGGAGGGTTAGTGTTGCTTGTTAGCACATGACTGTTACCCTACCCCCCTTCAACTATCTTATTATCATTTAAAAATGAAAGAATTGCTGTCAGGAGATACAACACAGCAAATTAAGCTCTGAGAAAAAAGGGCTTCTGCCTAATACGGTGGTTTTCCTGAAACTTGCCACTCTGAAACAGGGATGTGGCTGTTTCTGTGCTATTTGTGATACATCTTCACCCTTTAAACTCCTTTGTCCTACACATCTGGAAATACAGAAGACTTAAACTGGTTCAGTTTTGTCCAGATGCAGGCAAGCCTTCAATTCTCCTTCTTGCAATCCTGTAAAGTTATCCTAGTCTGGTCTTTGAAGACTACTTTATCACAGTTTGAAAACTGGTAGTAAAAAAAAAATGAAATCAATACGAATTAGTTCTTTCTATACAACTGGATTAGAAGCAAATGATTCACTAATTTCAGTGGTTAAAATGCACTTAAATATTTTTATCAATCTCTCCATTTGTTAGGGAAGAAACACCCACCAGAGAGGGAAAAACTCTTTAATCTCAGCTAGTTGCTATTATTCAGTAGATGATTAGACTTCTTTCCCTATCACTCATTTGCTGCTGAAGTTACGCTGTGTCAGTCAGGATGACTTGATTGTTCAAAACTTCCGGCTGTGCTCATGGTTCTCTTCATCCTAACCAGCCTAAACTGTATCGAACACTGATACACATTATTGAATGAAATAAAACAAGCACCTTCTATTGTTGAAGTCAGACATCCTGTAAATAAAAACTAGTCATTTTTAGGGAAACATAGATTAGCTTTGGCATTATTGCAAGCACTATCATCTCCCTGATCTTAAACTCTGCAGAATTAATAGAAACAAATGATGTCCAGGACAGGCACATCCTGTCAATTGGGATAAGATTGATTCAAGTGAAGAGCAGTGCCAGCAACAGCCCAATACATCATTTGGTGGGAAACCTTGGGCGTGCAGGTAGAGCACAGTCCCTGCAGCATTCTGGTGCTTCTTCAGTTATGTGGAAGAAACTGTCAGGAGTGGGCTTTGACATCTGGCTAGGAAATGGTTACGGCTTTTCATGCATGGTGATGGAGGACCATTGAAACCTTTTTGCAGTTACAAAAAAAGCATGCTGACTGCACCCAACAAAAAGCAGAGAGTGGCTTATGGGCTGTATAAAGACAAAGGATCTCCAGGATGCAAACACTATCAGTGAAGGTAAACATATAGATTTTTCACTCAGATACTAGAGGAGGAACCACAAATGAAATGGAAGCAACAAGCATCCAGTAAATTTTACCAGGAAGACATACAGAACAAAATCCTAATAATGGTAAAGTCAATGACAATATTGTCATCCATTGCAGCAGAGTGAGGATGTTACTCAGCTTCCTTAGCCCATAGTGTTTTCAGGCTATTTAGGTGTCTCTTAACAGAATCACAGGGGTTGGAAGGGACCTCAGGAGATCACCTAGTCAAACCCCCCACCCAAGCAGGTTCCCTACAGCAAGTTGCACAGGAAAGTGTCCAGGAGGGTTTTGAACATCTCCAGAGATGGGAGACTCCACAACTTCTCTGGGCAGCCTATTCCAGTGCTCCAACACCCTTCCAGTAAAGCCCATAAAAGATCCAGATGTGGCCTCACCAGGGCAGAGTAGAGAGGGAGGAGAACCTCCCTCTACCTGCTGGCCATGCTCTTTTTAATGCACCCAAGGATACTGTTGGCCTTCTTGGTCACAAGGACACGCTGCTGGCTCATGGCCAGTCTGCTGTCCACCAGGACACCCAGGTCCTTTTCCACAGAGCTCCTTTCCAGCAGGTCAGCCCCTAACCTGTACTGGTGCCTGCGGTTATTCCTCCCCAGGTGAAGGACTCTACACTTGCTCTTGTTGAACCTCATCAGGTTCCTTTCTGCCCAACTCTCCATCGTCTCCAGGTCTTGTTGAATGGCAGGACAGCATTCTGGTGTGTCAGCCACTCCTCCCAACTTCGTATCATCAGCAAAGTTGCTGAGGGTGGACTCTATCCCTATATCCAGGTCATTGATGAAGATGTTAAACAAGACTGGATAAAGTACTGACTCCTTGGGAACACTGCTAGTTACAGGCCACCAACTAGATTCTGCACCATTGATCACAACCTTCCAAGCTCTGCAAGTCAGACAGTTCTCAATCCACCTCACCATCCAGTCATCAATCCCACACCCTTTAAGCTTTGCTACAAGGACGTTGTGGGGGACAGTAACAAAAGCCTTGCTGAAATTGAGGTAGACGACATCCACTGCTTTCCCCTCATCTACCCAGCTGGTGATGACATCATAGAAGGCTACCAGATTGGTCAAGCATAATTTTGCCTTAGTGAAACCATGTTGACTACTTCTGACAACCTTCTTTTCTTCCAACTGCTTAGAGATGTTATAAAAAATGAGCTGTTCCATCACCTTCCCACGGATAGAGGTGAGGTTCACTGGCCTGCAGTTGCCCAGATCCTCCTTCTTGCCCTTTTTGAAGACTGGAGTGACAGTTTCCCTAACTGTTCCAACTGTCATTCCAGTTTAAGGTTGGGTTTTTTTTTGTTTTGCTGTTGTTGTTTTTTTATTTTGTGTTTTTTTGTGGGTTTGTTGGGGTTTTTTTACCCATTTCCTGTGTCTCAGTCTCCTATTTTCTAATTATCTAGGCTTTCACCTTCAAGTGAGACAGTGTTAATATGGCACTTCTGATTAGTTCTGGTAGTCTGTCTACCCTTTTCATGAGTTTCATAGGAGATTTGCATTTGACTGTCCTACTCTTCTGAGAGATGAGGAGAGACAAATTGAGATAAGAGCAGGGTAATTAGTGGAAGGAAATAAAGGGGAAATATGGCAAGAGATTTTTCCTCATATTTCTACTGCACTGCATGCTTTCATATCACACAAAACAGGATAACCTAAAACTACAATTGAGTTGGACCTCTAACAAAGAAAAAATATAGCATAGATACAGGTACCTCTTAAAGAGATGACTATACAGTCATGCTGCTATGATACTCTGGTGTGGAACAGTTAAAATCTGATCTTATTAACCTGTTATCACTGGATTTCTAAGGTTTAGAAAAACCTCCAGAATAAACTGGAGGGTTCACATCTTCTCTTGATCTACAGGAAACATCTGTTTCCATTACAATTTCAGGCTCACTGAGGAGCAGGTAAGTCAGTATATTGTACTCTGATTCTTTATGTTAACCTCACAACCTTTAGCACTAGAAATGTAATTCTGTGTTTAAATGAAAGTTTAGATTCTGCAATATGTTTTCCTCTTGGAAAACATGACTCTAAAACTAAACAATGGTGGAACACCTAAGATCTCTGAATGCCCAGAGAGCAATTTTTGCAATTGTAAAATCATACCTCAAAACCTAATCAGCATTTCTATAAAAGAAGGTGCTAGATAAATACCAACAACCAGTGAAGTAAATGCATCTGTATGTTTTATATAAATATATATATATCTATACACATTAAATACATACTGTCTTTTCAGTTGATCCATTGATTTTTTTTCCTCTTCAATTCTTGCCTTTACAGCCTTGACAATTGTGGCCTGGAAAAGCTCAGCACCCCTACAGCAGAAATGGGTGCAGAAGAAAAGAAAAAAGGAGAGGAAACATTAAATATTTCTAAGTTTCCCTTATGCCAGCTAGTCACGGAGAACTCTCTGTTCCCTCTGTACATGACCTTATCTGCATAAAACAAAACTAATCCAATGCCTGAAAGAAATAATCCATTACTCCAGAATATGAATCTGTTTACAGTCAATCATTTCAAGATCTAGGGCCAAACTTTGTGATCTCTACTCAGACTGTAGGTTTCTCTAGCAGCTGTTCGAGGAATTTGGTTTCCAGTCCTCAAGAACACAGAACACAGGTGGGTTCAAGGCTGAGTTAGGACCTCTTGCACACTTCCAGGATTTGTTTTTTATGGTCATTTCAGCATTATAATCACCTTGTCCCTCTGCCTCAGCCCCTTGGAAGTTGTGAGCAAAGTCCAGCTTTATCCAGGGCCATGATAAGCATAGTTCAGCTTCACTTTTGCCCTCAGAACACTAGAGTGCTTTCAATCTGATGAAAAATCCTTGAACAAGTTTCTGGTGTGCCAAATAATATGGCTTCTAACTTCATTTCATTAGAAATGTAATCAACTCACAGACTTGGATGTTCAGATCACATATTTTGACCAGTTGTCATTATTCACTCATCAGCTCTTGAAGACTCTTGAAGAGCCTCAAAGTCTCTCTCAAAGAAGTAGCATAGATTTAAAGCCTTTCTTTTGTCAGTAATTCAATAAGAACAGCTATAGTTTCAGAAGTCTACTTCTAATTAATTTGTCATCAATGTTTGCTATGAGATTAATCATTCTTCCATGTAATATGCAGGATGACCAGAACTACATTTTTTCAAAGGTATACAATAAAGACTGGCCATCACTGCAGTCCCAAAGTACAGTAAAATACAACAAAGAAGGACATATTCTCCTTAGCAGCTTGATCACTCCTAAATTCTTATGGACTATTGAAAACTGTCATTGGATCCTTGTTGTTATTGTTTGAATCACAATATTAACTAGAAAGCAGTCTCAGACCATGCTGTTTGAATCCAAACCTGACCTTCTCCATTGTCCACGTAAATTCAAACCTTGGATTTTAAAAAGGCAAGTAGCTAACTAAAATATTTAATTGTATCACTATATCACTTATATAAATTTGTTATATCAATTATGTCACTGCCTTTAATATCTTGGCACTTCCTGGTCATTAACATATTTATCTTTACAAAGCTCTTGACATATGAGCTCTTGGCTCATATGTCTCCACTTCTGCTGCTGGAGAACTCAAGCCTGGGTACATTCAGTAACTTACAAAAAGACACAAAGCTGGAAGTAAGAACCAAACATATTTCAGCCCAGCCCAGATCACTGCCATTTATGTGAGCCTAATCTTTCCTTCTGGATGCAAACTTTCCCATTTAGGAGGCATTTTGATACTCATGATTTTTCTTTGTGTTATTTTCACTATGAACGCAGCGTACAAAAAAAGCTACAAAAAGGTAGTATCCAGCAATCTTGGGCATCAAGAGTGAAATTCACCCCAGTGCAAAAGTCTGAGAGAGGTAATATGGGATTGAGGTATAGATCTTTTGGTAGCCCTGTTAACAGTGGTGAATTTTGTTCAGTATGGGCAGCTAAATATGTCCCCTTTTTAAAGTAATCCCTGGAGGGGGAAGATGAGGAAGATAAAAAATGCTTCCTTTCAGGATGCACAAGCCAAATTTTGCCCTCAAACACAGACAGGAATCAATGTCTGTATGTTTTTCAGGAAAAAAAAAAAAAGCCACAATACATTTAATCCAATACCAACGAAAGTAACTCCTTAGAAATTTGACTGAAATTAAAACCAATATTTTATTCCTGATCTGTCTTCTTATTAAAAAACCCCAGAAGAAATGTTGTGCTAGTGATAGCTATGAGTGGATGCTTGTGAGAAGGTACAAGTAACAGGCCCAAAAACGGTGATACTTCCTTGCCACACCTAGTCAGTGTTCAGTGATGTGACACTTCCTGAGTGTCTCACCAATGGTCTTCCTGAGCCAGATGTCACAACTTTCCTGTATTTTTCCTTATGTAACATTTTTAGAGTTGTGATTTCTAAGGCCTATTGTCTCAAGCAGGCTCTGATAGAAAAATGTTTTCTTTCCAAGGCTTGGAAACTCTGGCATTCGTTCTCATACACATTGGTGTTGAGAGAATGGTGCAACACACATCAACTTTCACAGCTTTTAGTAAAGCCTATCAGAGCAGCAGATGGTATTTGGTAGGAAAAAGGGTTTAACTTCTATCAGATTCTCAATTAGTTTGTTTTCTTACATGTGCTTTGTCAGAGTTGGGCTTGCAATTATGAGTGTAACATGGATTGCTTAAACCAATGTTAAATACCAGACTCTACTGTAAACAAATAAATACTGTAGTCATGCAGCACTTGAGCTGTTTCATTTGAATTTTTAAAAATGCAAGTTACCTTGACGCTAGGATCTGAGAAGCTTTTATATCTGCAACCACATGCAGGAAGTAGTAACTCATGAAGACTCTTCTTTGCAGCAGCAGGAAAGCAAAACATATGCTGTCCCAAATGATTCCTGCTTCACCACTGGGCAGTTTACAATCTAGATTATTGGTTGCTGGAAAAACACACCATCAGCATAAAGACTGTTGTATTAAGTATGCTTTTAAAATGTTTAATCAATTAAATAATCTTACACTTTAAAATTATTTGAATTTAGGTACTTTAATTAGATTTTTCTTAAGAAAATTGACATGCATTTCCATTTGAAGTACACCATATTTTCTTTTATACCAAACTGGAAAGCTTCCAACAATGTGATATCCCATGAAAACAGAATTCACCAAAGTGAACCATTTGCAAACAAATTCACCCTATCCTACTACATACTTGAAAAAAAAAAAGAATGGGAAAGAAGTATTTTTTGTTAGCCTGAAATATTTGATTTCAGTATTTTCTGAAATGACATGTTTCAATTCTTTTTTTTTTTTAATTGACTTTCTCTCTCATTTTTCTAAGAACACTATCAACATAAGAAAGAAGTGGTTTATTTTTGTCAAAATAATTTTTGGGCTTCCACTACCTAGTATTTTTATTTTTCCTCTCCACAACTCAGTTCAATGTTTCTTTCCATTGCATAAGAGAAAAAATATCTGAAACCACAAAACTGCTTCCTTTGAGGTAGGAGGAGAGAGTCAGAGAGGAAATCCCATTCCTCCAAGATCTAGATTTTGGCTTGGACTTCTTTCTTTCTTTCTTTCTTCGTTTATTCTCTAAAAGACAGTTCTCTTGGGGATATTAAAAAATTAAAACTGGGCTTTGTGGAGCTAGACTATAAACTAAATGACCTATGCTGCCCTATAGAAGGGAGTATAAAGACTTAAGGGACAGACTCCAGCTCAAAGCTGGCTTTACAATCAAGCAAGCCAGTTTAATAGGTCTGGAAGGTCAAGATCCAAGAGCTTCAAAGCCTGCTGTGCCTGTCCCCTGGGGAGTCAGAAACCTGTGTCTAAGTTTCTGTTGCTGCTCAAAACGTTTTGGATAATACAAGATCTACTGGGCACCATTTATCTTGTAAATTTGAATCTTCATATTTCCTTTCTTTTCCCCTACTCCCCACTTATCTATTACCATCAGACACGAAGACAGGAATTCAGAATTTTGCTGCAGACTCACTAGGATGAAAAAGTTCTTTAAATTCAGCAAAAACCACTGAAGAAACCCCTGGTGTCTTCAAACTATCAGTCCAGGGTGTCAGTACAAAGTGGAACCAAACTAATGGCTCACTGAGAGGTGAAGTGTCTTGCTCTCCACACTTCATTCCTCTCTTCTATCACCTCCATCCACATACACTATCCACTACCTCCCTGTTATCACCACAAACATGAGAATAATTGTAAAAAAAACTCTGCCTAAACTCACTATGCCTGCAAAAAATTACCACTTCTATGCTGGTTTAACCTCTCGCCATTTCAGTGGCCTGAACTGGTTTACACTTGGAGCAACAGAACATAAGACCTGATACACAGGGAGGAGTGGGAGTCTGCAGCTGGGAAAAGGTGCACTCTCCTTGCAGTGATGGTGAGCTGAGATTTTAGCTCAAGTTGTACAGTGAAACCACACCCTCATGTATCACATCACCTATGTATACCAGGAAACTGTGTTAAGCGCTGGAATCATCAAATTGTTAATTTACAGCAAACGCTGGTGGGGGTGGGTGGTGTGTGGGTGTTGATTGTTCTCTCTGTATATGGATCTCCTTTGGTTCTATGAAATATTTTCAATGTTCTGTGTTGCTAGTCAATATAGGACCAAGCTGTATTAACTGAACTTGCAGGTATGATTTTTTCACAAGGTAATATGTCAGGAAAGGGCACAACCTAAATATGGTAGAAGATTTTGAAGGTGATTCTTTTTTATTACAAAATATGAAGACAAATGACTATACTTACGAATACGGTAGCCTTTAACTGTACAAGCCAGGCTAAATGCCTGAATCAACCAGCAGCTGTTCTTAATTAATGATTCAATGTAGCCACATGCTCCTATCTGGAAAGTAAAATAACAGTTTCATATAACAAGGCATAGCAGAAATAAAGATAAGTTGCACCTCTTTACATGAGGATATTGTGACTACCCTTGGCTATATTAGATCTCATTACTAAAACAGAGATTAAAAGAGAGTGTCCTTACCAGTGACACACATCACTTTTAGATAGCAAGAATTTGTTCTCTCAATTATCAGTGAGATAGGAGGCATGTGCATTTTGTTTGTGTTTTTGCAGAGAAAGTGATAGGTCTGGCACGTGATGCAATGTGATGGCTAAGCAACTTTCATAAACCACTGACTTAATCTTGCAAACATACATGGACAAGCTTAACACACGTGTAGCTCCACCGAATTCCCAAGCATAAAATGAAGCACCATATGTAAGTATTTAGAACATTTGCAAATTCAAACCACCCATAAATCAATTTTATTTCAGTACAGTGACTTATATAAATGTAAAAAAAAAAAGTCTGCTCTTTTCAGCCCAGCACTAAAAATGTTCAAAGCTGGAAAGCAATTGCCAGGAATAAATCTAAATTTATCTTTCAAAAAGATTTAAATTACTGGCTTATCTCAATCACCCTTCCATGCCACTGCAAGAATACGCTCTAAAGAGTTAATTAATGTAAGAAAATCTTTAATATTTTGCAGAAGAATTTGACATTTATTTATCAAATATATCTGCTTTCACCTGAATTTCACACTAGTTCTAAAGGAAACAGGAATGCAGTTTGTAATCTTGTAGTCAGCTTTGCTAATTATATTACATCACATGACAACTACATCTAGTTCTAGGCTTGAAAGTTCTAGTTTTAAAAAAAGGTTTAATTCAATGTGCACTATTTATCAACAGTATGACTAATCTTGCACTTCTTACTCATTTCTCACTCCACTGAGATTTTCACAGGACTTCTAAGGAGAGACTTTACTAGGCAAAGAATCCAGAACCTGGTCCTTTGAAAACAACCTGTGATTTTTCACAGAGCCTGATTGAATACAAGGGTGCACACTTTCCTAATAATGTATATGCATTACCATTCCCTGGATATACGCTTGCATTTTCTGAATTAAAATGGACTTTGCTTTGCACCTGCAGAAGGCTGTGGTCCTGAAAAAGGATTTTTATCGACCACTCGATGCACTGTGCACACTTGCATTGAAACCAAAGTGCTGAGGGCAGAGGAAAGGCAGCAGCTACTCACCGATAGGATGTTCTTCATTGTGATCACAAAGACGTTGTAGGCAATCAGCCAGTCCCAGTAACGCAAAATGCTCCTGATGGGCTTCAGCAAGAGATCTCCACCAAAGAGAAGGAAATAAAAGCAGGCTACCAAGTAGCCCATGCAGAATATGCTGATCCTTGTGGTTCCCGTTATGAAGATTATAGTAAGCACAAACCAGAAGAGGTAACTAAATATTATCACCTTATACATGTCTAAGTAGGACCTGGAAGTAAAAGAAGGAGAAGAAGTTACCATTTTCTGAGGACAATGCTACCTTTCCTCTACCTGTGCTACTTGCTGATGCTTGTGCCTAAGATCTGCTGAGTGTTCTCGTCCCACTTCAGCATTCGAGCACCTGCTCAATATTAACACCAAGGTCAGTGGGTCTAGCTCATTCGTGGGTCTGCCTGGCTTAGATACTCAATTCTAGCTCATTCATGTGCATAAGCACCTTCCTACACCCGGTCAGGGCACTTTGAAGCACATGGGATCAAACCTTGTATCATGAAAAGGGGGAAAACATGTTCACCAAACTTCATTATAGAGTGATATTATCTGGAATGCATATGCAATTTAAAAGCTATTTGAGACAATCTTTTAAGAAGTCTGAGCAGTACTACAGCAAATCTATCTTCAAAAGCCAGCTACAATACTCCACTGCAAACAATTCTATTTATTGATGACTACTAAGGAATTCAGTCTTGTTAAAAGCCTACTTTTCAAAGACAGCTACTAAAAATATCTTTCTCCAGTGGAGATCAACTGTGAAAATTTTGAGGAATAAAAGGTTTCTGCAGAACGTAAATGAGATAGAATTTACTGAAACATTTGCCAGGAAGCTACAAGATGGACTTATCTGAAATCAGCCTGGCCCACAGTGGGAAAGTTTGAAACAATTTGGTATTTTCAGATTCCTTAAAATCTTGACTTAATATTGACTCAGTGAGCTTTCAAATAAGAATATCTGCCAAAGGCAATACCAAATACTACATATAGCTAAACACTGCAAAACCAACTAATTCTCAGTTTCCCCCACTTAGTGTTTTGGTTCCAGATGTAACTGTGTTTTCAGGGTCTGTTCACCCAGGCTGCAAAACTACGTTTGCCAGGAAACCAGGCAGGGAGACAGCCCTATAAGAGTACACATATGCCTAAGCCAAACCATGTAAGAAGCAAATGAACTAAATGCACTGTATGAAGCCACATAAAAAGGCCCCTGCTGCTTGATGTTCTCAGGCTCAGAACTTTCTAGGAGTATGTATTTATAGTCCTACATTTATAGGCCTGTATTATACATTTCCCTTGCTGAAGCCAACCAGAGAGACATTTAATGAAAGGTAATGAGAAAGCCCCTTTATGTTTATTTCCCACAAACATTTAGGAAATTTATGGACTACTGCCTGCAAAATATAAAATGTCATGACTTTAGAGATGCTACTGGGTTTTGGATGATAAAACATTAACAAAGGATCTACACATACTGGCAAAATAACGAAGCAGGAGACATCAGTTGAACAGGTCCTCACTAACTCTACATGCACTCAAAATGCGTATGTTTTTGCATATTGTTTCACTGTTTCTCCAGAAAAAAACCGACCATAATATTTGATGTTCCTTTAATAACAACTATTGATGTGTGGGATGGCTAGGAAGAGATCACTTTCCTGATACTGCTCTAACAATTGCAATATTTCAAAAATCTTCTCCTCTGCTACCAACAAAATGTATCAGCATCTTTTGAGAAAAGCCCGAAATGGAACTGAATTGATCAAACAAACAAGAATATCTTAATACTCTTCAATAAAAATGGACTCTGACTTTCAGGGACAACTGGAGCTGGCTGGATCCAAACTTTCCAACATATACACATGGCATTTGGTTGAGTCACAGTCCAACAGCAGATATCACCCTCTGATTAAAACTTTCAGAAATTAGAAAGAACATGAAAAGAAAGACAAGGATTTAGCTATTTTTTTACTATAATGTTAACCATTTGCTACATTTTAGCAGTCTAAAATATTAAATACATCTGTTGTTCTCATTTTCAAAATATACATTAAATATAGTAGCATTGAACATCTCTAAACCAAACACACAACAATACAGGATGTAAAGAAAAGCATCTCAAAAGGCAGGAGACAAGATAACTGTGTCAAGCGACGAATTATGTAGTTCTTAGAGAAAGAAATCATTCTGATTTTTGTAAATATGCAATTACAAGCAAGCCCAACCATAAAAATAGCTCCCAAGAATTCACCTTGAAGTAGACAGCTTACAAAATGGTGTTTGAACAAATAATCCAGGGCTCACCTAACCAATGAATATCACCAACCATCCCAGGTACCTGTGTGCTGTCCCAAGAACAATGCCAAACACAACGGTCAGGACTATACTAGAGTAGTCTTAGGTAGATAAAAATATTCCTGAAATCACACTTCTTTCCTTTTCAGTATGCCAAAGCTCCTTGTCTGTTTCAGTGTGGAGTCATGGATCCCCCTAATTTTCATTAATTGATTATAATTATACAGGTAGGTCAAGTGCTGCAAGAGCGGGAACGAAGACCTGTCTTGGTGGGAGAAGTTCTCAACATATTGCCTCTCAAATCACTTGACACATTCTCAGATGCAAATCTTTAAATTCTGCCTCAAACCCCAGAAATTTGGGAAGTGAGAAGTTTCATTTCCTTGCTCTTGAGATTATAATGCAATGGTGGGAGGCTGAAGCACAAAGCTACCCCAACAGCTGAAAGATCCTACACAAATCCAGAAGGTCAGTAAGGGTGCTTACCCTGTGTTTGAAAACTTATTCATAGACAGCAGAAAATACTGTCTTGGATATCATATACCATAATTTTATGCTTTCACTGTAGACCACACAGATCACTAGTTTAATGCCATGTAAACCTTCCAAACCTCATCTTCTAAGTGGTCTTTAAATCCACATCCAGTCACAGAGAGGAAAGGCCACCCTCAGGATGTGGTATTTGACAATACACCTAGGAAATATGAGAGCCCCCTGCTTCCCAAGGGGACAGTCCCACTCCCCTTCATCCCCTCAGCTCTGCATTCCATCCCCTTCTTTGGCTTTAGCTCTTTGAATCAGTTTAAAGAAGTAAATTTGCAAAAGCCTATTTATTTTGGGGGAGGGCAGAAGGAAGAGATACTTATCTGCCTATTCAGCCTATAAACCAACTCACTGCTGGTGTGATGAATGCAAAGGTAGGAGTGTGTAGCTGGGGGCCAGGAATACAGCCACACATCTGAGGAAGATTAGCCACTACACCAGCATACCAACAGCATCAAACTATGGCTTTTCACAGCACAATAACCTTGAATAAGAAATTACACAGAAGAAACCTGAAAGATGAATGAAGAATTAAAAATGCCGATTTGCCAACTGTGTCATTAGCAGAACCCACTCTGGATAACATTTTGGAAAAACTTACTTTATCACTTTGCTCAAAACCAAGGAAGACAAAGTCTGAAGTTCATTCTACCCACCCATCAAAACTATTGTAACCTCAGATGGCTCTCCATATCAGATGATCTGCTTTTCTTTATTAAAGCTTTATTAATCTTGTCATGATTGTTTCAATATTTTATTTCCTCAGGAATTAATTTTTAACTGTAATACAATCTAGCCTGCTGCAAAAAGATTGCTCTAGGTGTATTTCTGTTCCCAGCATGCTTAATGATGTGTTTGGCTGTGGCCAGTCTACTGTCCGGACCTCTGCCTGCAGGTACTGAAGTGCTGATACTGCGACTGATAACCCCTTTGAGGAAATGTGTTTGTTCTCAGTCAATGCTTTAAAGTTTAGGGAAAAAACACACTTCTGCATACACACCGATGAGGGAATATTGTGCTGTTGCTCTGACCGATACAGCTCAATGCTTCTTCATACTGGAGGAGTTGCTGTTATGTAGTTCCATTGCCTTCCCGTATCAGCCACCCTTTTTGCTTTGAGTGTGGCTTGCCACCTCCGTATAACCCCAGGGTCCTTCCTGCAGCCCTCTTCTGATGATTTACTTTCTCCCTTTCCTTCAGGATTATTATCCCTATTTATATGCATTCTGTAAGCTACCTCTAGTCTCCAAATTTCTCCTTTCTTTTCCTTCTTCCCTAGTTCCAAGAAAGCCATTACAGCTGCCTTTGAGAGACTCCACCTGACTCACCTGGTGATGGTTCCTAGGGTGCAGGTATTAAAGGGGATAGTTCAATGACTGGCTGTTAATACTGTTTCTGCTCTAAGAGGAAAAAAGTAGATTACAACCTCATTTTTTTTCCCTGTTAATGTCTAGGCGAATGTCTGAAAATTGCTTGGGAAGTGAAACTAGGATTTTCCAGCATGAGAGACTGTGGGAAAGGATTATCCTTAGTGAAGTAGTTTCAAATCCTGTTTCATTTTAAAAGCTCCTGCTTCTATTCTTCATTTTTATTTCTGTTTCAAAGGCTTTTGGTTGTGCTCTCCCTTGGGGTCAAGCACATATTCCCTGAGAAATATGGGGGTGGAAAGACAAGAAAATTTCAGGAAATCTCTTCCTCAGCCTGTATTTATCATTGTTGAGCTCAAGTATTTCTCTAGAGAGAAGAAAATTAAGCATTTGGAAATACGTTATTTTTCTGCTACTGTTTATATTGCCATTAAAAGCTTTTTATCCATGCCTACTAGGACAGTGACCAACTGGCATCTTCTCAAGGGAAGAGACATCAGAAAGGGTGCTTCAGGCTGCAATGGACACTTCTTTTATGTGGCAGTAAATACACATCGGGCTTCTCAGAAAACACATGAATACTAAGCACTAAATTTTTTTATGCTTTGTAATTTATTCATAACCAGGTTGTCTTCACTTATTTGCTTGGCTCTTTCTGACTGACTTCTGGAGAAATGCCATTTTTAATTTCACTTGCTTGGATAAGCTTTGTACCAAGTTCTTCTCCATGTTACTAAATATTTAGACCATTCTGAAACTTCTATGGCAAAGTGCAAGAAGTGTTTTTAGACAAAGCCCTTTCAGTTCCAAATTGTCTTGAATGGAGGCCAGATACATACATTTTCTTCTGAGGTATATCTTCTGTGAATTCTCCAGAGCTTGAGAGTCCTTCTTTTTAAAGATTTATATTCCCTAATAAAAGATTCAGTCACTCTAAGAGACTGTCCAGCCGTTCTCTGGTGTTTCATTGAAGCAAATTAGGCATTTAAAATTGCATATGCACAGTGCAACCTCTCAAAAATAACATCATCTAAAGCCTAGGAAAGTCTGCATTGTAGTGAAAGCATTTAAGGAGATATTTAAGGGCTCAAAGAAAGGAAAGATACCATCAAGAACACAAGATCTATTATGCAGGTCATACTAAATGAAGGTCTGTTTATACCTATACATGACATTCTATAAATATGTTTCCATTACAGATTCAGGAAACTAACACTACAAACAAAAAAAAATAAAAGTACAGCTTACCTGCTTAAGCATCTACAAGAAAGGATATAATAAACAGGACTTTTCCTCTGTTCCTGAAATTAATGGGTTTTCTATTCATTTGATGGATTTTTTCAAACAAAAATGTCCCTGTTCTGTTTCTTTCTCTGCCTTGTTTTTTTACTACTTCTTATTCACACAGCATAAAACTATCACATGAAACAGTCGTACAGATTTCTGTATTTAGTTGGAACAGGTATAAAGTGATCATAGTTTATTTGTTCAGCTCACCACTACTAATGGGATTCTTTGATCTTCTGTTTTTTCTGTACCTTCCACCAGCAATATTACTTACTGCTTAATACAAGTTGTAAAGTCCCAATTAAATAGTTGCATATGATTAACCATCTATACACAGGTCTATTTTGTCAGCATATGCCAAGCAGTCTGTTTGAATGGATCTGATGCCACCAAAGACTTCAAGCTGGTGCATACCATGCATATGAATCAAAACACAGAACTTAACCTAAAGGATTGTGGAGAGGCAATAAATAGGTCAGTTCAGCTTGGACTTTGCTTTCCATTATAAACCTGACTCTGATTCCCATCCAAAATCTTCAAAGAACATCCTCTGTGCTTCAATCTTTTCATGCTTGGTGATTTGGGAATATCTTCTACAGAAGACCAGAAATACATATCAGATTCCAGGGAACTTTGAAAAGATGCCAAAAGAAGCTGTTCAAAAAGCAGTGATTTTCTTGCCTCTTTTCCCCTTCTGATGATAGCCTTTAAACACATTCTCATTATTAATGAGTTTTTTTCACAATTATTTTTTTTTCTGGACTAAGGAGGGAAAATTTGATATTTTCTTTCTGCCAGTAGCCATCTCACCAGTGATGGTCCTTGCCAGTGAGCAATGACATCAGTGTTCCTGATTCAACTGTATTTACAGATTTTGCTAAGATGGACATCACTGCAGTGTCAAGAAAACCTCAGGCAATCCACCCTACACATTTGTCTCAACCAAGCCCTGTGTGGCAGATGTTTTTTAGAAAGTATCCCCACCTGATGGAGCATGTTGAAGATAGATTATGACTTCTCTCTTTCTGCTTATGTCACTGGATCTAGAGCACTGAGGCCACTGTGTAGACTGGAAATACTCAAGGGGGAGAACTCTTCACCCTTTGCCCAGAATTGACTATAAATCTCTGGACAAATAAGTCAGTTGAATGTGTTCCAATGGTCTCCTTTTCAAGGCTATTTCAAGATAGATTTGGCCACCATTTCTAACAGAAACAGCAGGATCAGCTTAAAGATCTTGAGAAGAGCTTCTGGTAATAGCACTTCTCTGGTAAAAGAAATAAAAGTTTATCAGCAAAAGGGAGATTTCACTAGATGTTAGTTCAATTTTTTTAAATTCCTAACATTCAGACATCTATTGGTAATGTGCAGTCACAAAATAAATACCTAGTGTGACAAAACACAATAGCTAAAAAATCTTACTCTTCCCATTTATTCTCATAATACTGCACCAAACTTTCAGAGACAACTTCAATTAAGAGTATGTCCAGTACAACTCAGAAGAGCCAAGCTAATCCGTGTTTGCTGAAATGATCACATAGGAACAGCTCCATTGTTTGAAGACCATGTAGAAGAGACTGTCCTAGGCTCTGCCCCTTTTTTATACACCTTCCTAAACAACCTTACGTGGATAATGAGAAACAAGAAGACACACCAGTTGTCCTTCCAAGACACTTTTAAGGTTCTTAGGCCTAGATGAAATAGCACAAAGTACAGTCTTTTGTATTTAGAGTATTTGATTGTACTTAGAAAATAACTCAGGAGGACATAACTAACGAATTTGTGGGATTAAACACATACATGGCCAAATTCAGACTACAACAGATTCTTTCTAGCATGCCTGTGTTTTGGGGGAATCCACTAGAGTGCTGAAGTACACCATAAACACTGCCCCCACAGGGCATTCATGGAGGGAATACAAGCTTTCAAGCAAATTTATTACTGAACATTCCTCTGGGGAGCACTTAAAACAATGAGCAGTGTTAGGAAGACTTGTTTTCTTCTGCCTTTCTCTAAACCAGAAGTTGATTACCCAGAAACTAACTACCTACTATCTCATGCAGCTGTAAAATGTATGTTATGAAATGGAAGCATATATGAATATAAATTCCAAGTAAAATTGGAAGCTGTAAGAGTTACTTTTACACTAGAGAACTTTACAAAAAGGAAGCACTATGTTTTCCAGGTATTTAAGATTCAGTTCTTACCGGCAGTGAATGAAGTCAGGAACAGGATTATGCTGGCTAAAAGATGCTGCATCAAGATTCATGCAAATTTCCACATTGTCTCCAGCTATGATTCGTACTGCAGCTTTATTTTCATCCTCAAATGTCTGTCTTTGTAAGGATGCACACAGCAGCAACATGAAATCATCTAGGAGAAAGCAGTGGTTGCAAGGAAAAATCCAGTCATTAACTTAGGTGTAGGGAGTGGTGGTCATATATAATAATGTAGTTAACAGACTGCTTTCCCATGCTTTGAACCTCCTAAGATTGTGCTATTTTCAATGCATTTAACACTGATTTGAAATTCATTAATATATTTAGGTTTTTTACCTGTCATCTTCTATGATTTTTATTGAGAAATAAATTAGAAAAGGAAAAATAATTAATACTTTTTGATGCCACTTCATTAAAAATGCAATAAGGAAAAAACAGATGCAGAAATTACTGATTCTTTGAATTTTTATACTACATACAAAGTCACACTTATTATTCAATCTCCCACAGAATATGTCAGCTTGCTACTATACAGTAAATATAAGGCTGGCTTCAAATTACACTCTACAGATGTTTTAAGCAAAGGACATGTAAACACTTCACAACTATGTGAAGTGTTTCGGTCCGGTCTTGTTTAATGTCTTCATCAGTGACCTGGATGAAATGATAGAGTCTGCCTTCAGCAAGTTTGCTGATGATACGAAGTTGGGAGGAGTGGCTGACACACCAGAATGCTGTGCTGCCATTCAACAAGACCTGGAGACGATGGAGAGTTGGGCAGAAAGGAACCTGATGAGGTTCAACAAGAGCAAGTGTGGAGTCCTTCACCTGGGGAGGAATAACCGCAGGCACCAGGACAGGTTAGGGGCTGACCTGCTGGAAAGGAGCTCTGTGGAAAAGGATCTGGGTATCCTCGTGGACAGCAGACTGGCCATGAGCCAGCAGTGTATCCTTGTGGCCTAAGTGGCCAACAGTATCTTGAGTGTGGCCAGTAGGTCAAGGGAGGTTCTCCTCCCCCCTCTATTCTGCCCTGGTGAGGCCACATCTGGAATACTGTGTCCAGTTCTGGGCTCCCCAGTTCAAGAAAGACAGGGATCTTCTGGAGAGAGTCCAGTGGAGGGCCACAAAGATGATGAGGGGCCTGGAGCATCTCCCATATGAGGAAAGGCTGAGAGAGCTGGGACTCTTCAGCCTGGAGAAGAGAAGACTGAGAAGGGATCTTATAAATTTCTATAAATACCTGAAGTGTGGGGGACAAGTGGATGGGGCCAGGCTTTTTTCAGTAGTACCCTGTGACAGGACAAGGGGCAATGGGCAAAAAATGGAACACTGAAAGTTCCAGACAAACCTAAAGAAAAACATATTTACTGTGAGGGTGACAGAGCACTGGAATAAGTTGCCCAGAGAGGCTGTGGAGTCTCCATCTCTGGAGGTGTTCAAAACCCACCTGTACGCTTTTCTGTGCAACTTGTTGTAGGGAACCTGCTTTGGCAGGGGGATTGGACTAGATGATCTCCTGAGGTCCCTTCCGACCCCTATGATTTTATGATTCTGTGATGTGCGAAAATACTTACAGACAAGGAAGACAGGGTTTGGTCTCACAATGAAGTCTGGAAAGTATAACCACTTTATGATGTTGGAGTTGAAGTTGGCATTACCACTTCTCCATGGATAGTCTGTATGACAGAAACACACAAAAATGCAATCAGCACTTTATAACAATTACTTCACACTTTTCTTCTGAATACTTATCAATTTCCCAGCACTTTTCTGTAAGAGCAAGCAGCAGTAATTGTCCGTAAAGGGTAAGTGGCCTTACCTTTACAAGGAGCAGGTGGGATACCAATACAAAGGAAGTACTGGAACGTAATGATGCATGCCAGAAAACAGCAGTATTTTGGCCAGATCTCTGCAATAGCTTTTCTTCTACGTCGATATAATACAGCAATCAGACAGAAGGCATGAATCATGGCATAAAAATCCATTCGTTGACCAATTACATTCACTGACAGAAGAAAACAGGTCTGGAAAACAAGTAAAGAAACATAAGCAACAATTGCAACCTGATTGCTAGTCAATGCAGCAAGGATAAGCTAATCTGGATCCTGACAGAATGCTTGGACACGTGCTAAGCTCACTGCAGGAATCCTTTGCAAACCAACATACTACAACTCTTTAGTAGCAGTAACCTCCCTCACACCCCCCCCCTCCAAATTTTTTATACTCTTTTATGAGTGTCAACTATGTGAATACAGCATTGAAGCAGGTTTCCATTATGTGATATCTAAAGATACAGAATGGAAAGAGTGTTGTCACAGTAGCCTGTATATGAAATATTTAATTGTTGCCAAACAAAGCACATATTACACAGACGTATTTTGATAGCAATTACAGATGTGAAAAAGAAGAGGAATTATTAAGAATAACAACAACTAAAGTGTATCCTCATGTGTGAACCAGACAAAAAGGGATTTAGACTTCTATTGGTTATAGACAAACCCAGTCAATTGCTGTAAGGCAGCTTTAGTTCTCCATTCTTCTAAAGGCTCTGCACCCCAGAGCATTTCTGTTCTCTGCCTCCACTTAAAGTAGTCCCTTCACTCCATGCCATGAAGCATATTTTCAAACTTAGTGAATAATTCATAGTGAATCATTTATTCAGAGCACTTCACTGTTTTGATTTGCTCTCTCCTCAGATTAGGATGAGGTTAAATTTATTTCCCAAAGGAAATAGCTTGCTGATTAATTTTAATTTTCACTCATTCTTAATCCTCAGACTGGATGTGAAGAGTTTACTCTATCTAGCAAGGGGTGGTCTTGTTTAACAAATAGGTCAAGAGCATCATTACAATTAGATTTGGGATGCATTAGCCTAGGAGTTGCCTTCCTGAGATAGCCACAGATATTTGTGAAAAATATCTATTTCTACAAACATTTCACATGTCTGAACAAACAGACAAGGTAAGGGAACAGAGATGAAGCTGCCTTTTTTTTTTTGCCCTTTTTTTTTTTTTAGCACTTGTTTAGCAATAGCTTGTCTTCAAGGCAGGTTCAGTTCTGATGTTTTACTGCTGGACTGGGTGAAGCAGGTAGAAGGAACACATTAGCCGAGCCTAAACCCCAGCTGTCTGGGCTACTGCTGCTGTCAAACAGACAAGCAGATCTAGATATTTAGGATACATTATGGCTCTTCAGAAAAATCCTTTCATTCCTTTGTACCTGTCTCTCCTAATTCTCTGTGTTTCTGATCTACTGAAAAGTTCTTCGGAGAAAGAACTGTGTCTTACACTAGTGGCACAAAGCAGCAATAACCTTCACTGAAGTTCTTCCTCCTGCAAACTGCTAACAGCCACAGTAACAAGTATAAAAAAACAGGATGAGTTTGTGCAGCCGCAGGCAAAAGCAGCTTGGAAATGTTTAAATAGGGACAATGGCCTGCTAGGTCCTGCTTTCTTCCTCTGCTCCTGCAGTCTCTCGTTCCCTCTGTGTGTGAGCGCATGTGAGGGTATGCCTCAATTCTGTCTCTTGTCTCATCTGTTAACTCTTTTGTTGAGTTACAAGTAAGACATACAAAAAAAAGCAAGAAGGAAACCACAACTAGCAGATAGATAGCAACTGTGGTAAGGTCTAATATGAGCAATAACAGCATCCAGATGTCAAACATAGTTTAGGCCAGTATTCAAAAATAATACAATCAAAAGGTATGGAATGATAGTCTAAAGAAAATGAATATATAGTGATTTACCTCCAAACCGAACTTGTAGAAAAAATAGTTTATGAAATACTTGACACAGTTTACTAGTCCATCATCCAGATGTGCTCTTGTGATATCATGGAAAATGGTTTTAGTCACAGGTGCAGTAAGGTTATTTCGACATCTGTAGTACTCTTGATGACGGTAGATTGTAACTTCAAAAGCCAGAATAGCCAGCATCAGTAAGTTATTCTATGGGAGACACAGTCAGAAGAATATTAAATAAAAATCAGAACCACAAGAAGCTATATAATCTTCTGATAAGCATAAACTCATGAATACTCAAATAGATGTCACTATTGAGTGCTTCCACACTCCAGGGTGCACTGGCAGCTATTCCCAGTTACTATAATTGAAACAAAGTAAGTTTTCTACTGCTTCTTGGATTTTGATGAAACATACTGACATTCAGAAGATACATTTAAAGACATTAATTAAAAAGTACTATAACGAACACTAGTTGTGGAAAGGGAGGAAAAATGCATTGAGCTATCCATGTGTAAGTACTATAACGAACACTAGTTGTGGAAAGGAAGGGGAGGAAAAATGCATTGAGCTATCCATGTGCTGTCTCATGTTTTACAGCTGCTCTTAAGATACCATGATTTGCTTTACAGTGGTAGAGGATACAAGCATACAGAAAGCCATCTGCAGGAGTTCAGCTAGCAAGTAAGCACTAACTTCTTAAAACTGCAAGTGTGCTGGGTAGTGCTAAGATATCCTGGATATGCTTTCAAATGAACAGTCTATCTGGCAGTCTTCACTCAGGCACAGCTCCTTCTGTCCCAAAACCAGATTGACCTGGATGCAGTCTTGAGCAGCTATGAAGTGAGTTTCTCTCAGAAGGGAGATCTGCCTGATTGCTCAATAGAAGAGAGGTATTAACTAATGCCAAAAGTTGGTTAAAAAGACCAGCTCAGAGAAGTTCCTCAAGGAAGCCATAACTGAAGCTGAAGAGGCAAACTCTAGATCTCTGTTCACTGAGAAATATTTGGGACAAGAGTGTCCTGAGACAGGTGTCACTGTTTTTTCTTAAAAAAAATTGTTTGGGTTTTGTGATTTTTTTGTCAAGAAGTTATTTTTACTTGCTCTCCCTAGGCTTCCTATTCTTGTTGGGGAGAGTTTTACACAATCTATCATAGATAGGCTCCTTGCTTCAACACAGCAGACATTTTGCATGTTTGTTAATAGACAGGGGCAGAACAGAAACACACCAAAACTTGAAGCTTGGAACCTTCAGGTCTAGCATGGAACTGAATTCCTCTACATAGAGGAATTTTATTTGATGAAAATCCTTCTAGAATAATTTCTAATCCCAAAGCATTACCTATTTAGCTCAATAAAGCACCTAGCATCAAGCCAGACACCACTAGACAACTTCACTTCCCATGCAGAACTCTTGGGTCAGTAATTGCTTTTCCCCACTATATTCTTAACTGTAGGAGGTGCATGGCTTAGGGAGTGAGAGGCAGAGGCACTACCAGAGCCTGATATGCTGACCACCAGAGCTTGGCAGATCTTCTCTACACAAACAAAGCATGCAGACGTAAGCTCTTAGGGATGAAATGAGAAGTCTAGTTAGATCAAAACTTGCTGTTGTTCAGTCAACAAAATTCTGACAGCCTTAAACTGTGTATACAAAATTTTGAAGATTGTTGAAATTAAGAAGAGACATGCAAAGTTTCCCCTGGGAGTTTGGACATTTTTATTGTAAGCAGAATTTTTCAATCAAGATAGGAATAATAAAATATTGCTTGCAGGCATCAACTGAAAACAAGAAAAAACAAAAGACATAAATTTACTAGTGTCTGAATGAATTATTCCCTTAACTCATTATATTTTCTAAGCTGTGGCTAAGGAATAAGCACTTAAAAAAATTAACTGCTTACAGCATATACTGTCATTCAAGGCAGTTACTCCAATTAGACCCATCAGTCCTTTGCTACCTGAAAGCTATATACCTCTTAATTACTTAGAGTTCTTAAGTATCACATTTCTTAGAGTGGTTTTAACAGATGGTAGAGTCAGAAAACCATACTTCCACATGCAGATGATCTTAATTGGTATTGAATCCCTTTGGGAAATGTCCTGTGTAAGAGATACGCTTTCTGCTGGTTCTTCCCCTCTGTACTTTGCTATTATCAATGGCTTGCATTAGATTTTTTTTGTGTGTGGCAGATGATTTATTTCAAAGACATTGCTAATTTCATCACAAATAAGAAAATATATCAATATAGATAATTAAATAATTACCCTTAAGTACACAAGCAGAGGATAAGACTTCCTCAATCCAACCCACTCTGCAGGATCAACTGGCCCACTGTAGAGGACTGAGGTTTTGAGTTCTTCTAAATTGACCTTAGTTTCATTCTCTCCTGGCTAAAAAGAAATTGCAACAGTTTATAAAAAATGAGTTTAAGGCTGCTTGGAGAGGGAATTATAATCAATAATAATACATTAGGTGAACTGTAGTTTTCAGTACTTGATATGCTTCCTTTTACTCATCTTCATTGAAGAAGGCAGCAGTCAAACATTTTTAATATGCACTTGTACTCACCAACGTACAGTTACTGGAAAAAGTGCTGGGATCAATAGACGTGAGCTGGTACAACATTTTGCAGACAATAATCACACATGTCCAAACAGTGCAGATACTTGATGCCAATGGGCGAAACTGAGCATATGGCAAAGCAAGAGCCCAGGCAATTAAAAACACAAAGTTAAACAGAGACACCTGAAAACACAAAAACAAGATAGAAATTACATGGAGTAACAGGAGAACTGAGAATGTCTTCCCTTTTCCAAAGTAATTTAAAAAAAATAATTCAAAAGAAAGGGACATAGAGAAATTGTGAGAAAAATACTGAAGAAAAATTACAACAATATTCACAATAACACAGACACAAAGTGGTAAGTGATGAAGGAAGGTCTAGGAAGAACATTATTTCCTACATAACATTAATACTATTAGACCCACGAAACTGCATACCCACCCTACAAACAAACATAAAATATGAAAGACTACATGCTGATTTTGCTGCTTTAGTACACATGAAACAAAGAAGAAATGATACAGATCGGTGTGTCTGTGGAACCCACCTTTATCCTTTTGTCCTTTTTCCCCGCAAAGATGTGAGAAAAAGAATTTTGTTTTGTAATGAATTCTGCCCTACTACTCTGTTCAAGGAATGGCTATGTCAGTAGAGAAATCGCACTGTGCACACCAAATGCACAACTAAAGGTGTTGCTCCCTTTTTCTTTAGGTGCAGTTCCACATTCCTCTTTCTTCAGCACCAGACCCATTTTAAGCAATTTTCCTCCATGTTACTTCCCAACCCTTTTCTACAACCTCCATCCCTGGATGATGCCCAAAGCCAGCTTGAGCAGGGGAGGTGTTATGTGTCTTGAGTCCAAAGAATTAGACTAATAAAACCTTAGTATCTGGAGAAAAGGGAAGGGCTGAGTATCTAGGCAGATAGAATATCACTGTGGAAGAAGATGTCAAGGCAGGTCCCCTGCAGCTGACAAGCTCTGCTGGACCCCACAATTTCAGTGAGGTCTGACATGAAGAAGGTATCTGCCTACACTTAGGTGTACCACTGTGCAGCAGAAGCCTCCCCCATGGGTAAGATTTTGTCAGCGGGTGTTTACTTGCCTCTTTCACAGTGACCCAGATGATGTAAGAGGAAACGATTTTGATGATGTGCAGCTCCAACAGCCACCACACAAAGACTTGCATCTTATGAAAATACTCCAGGAATTTCAAAAACAGCACTGTAAGGCGATCAATCACCAGATGCCACTTGTTCCTTAAGTCTGCAGAGACGTTCAAGCAGAACCATAGGGAGGAGAAAACAGAAGGTCTCTGTTAAAAGGAATGGCCCACTAGACAACAGTGAGCTTTCTACTTCTCTTCTAGGACTTAGAGTAAGACAAGAAGAAGGTTAAAGGTATGGCTCAGTGGTTAACTAAAACAAAATGGGGTTGAGGCTTACTTAGCTATGGTGTTCTCCCTTCTGATCCACATTCACTGAAAGGATTTCCCACTTCAAAAGTGGTGATGGTAGCTTGCCTTGCCAATTCTGCTTTTATTCCTCTCTAGCAGAGCCCTTCTTAGGCTCTATTTTCCACTGGTATCTTTGAATCTAAGCTTAGGGATCCCATCCGGAGACTAGATCTGAGACACTTCGTCCCTGGCTCTCTCCATCTCAAAAAGAATAGGATTTTGTTTGATGTTTGGAAGCTATGGAACCAGCCTTTTTTCAGAAAGCACAGACTAATACTATTCAGAAAGCTTTTCAGCCAACCTGGAAGATATCCATGTACACTAGGAGTAGGATTCTTGCCACATGGGTTTAGATAGCTATACTATAGAAGTCTTCATATGTCAAAGTTATCTGGCCTGCCTTGCAAACAGCACAGCCTTCTAGAGTGTGATTTGTGCCATCCCAGGACAGACATCTAAAACAGGCAAGGCAAACTGTAGTCCAGTTGAATATTTCTCTCAGTTGAAAGGGAAGCTTTAGCAAGTTAAGATCCTGAGTTTGAGTGAAAGTATCCCTTTGCAGACAGTATTTTGCTAAAAAAGCCATCCTCCTAAATAATACCTCAGTGAGCAAGCATCTATTACATATGTGTATATATGGCAAAACATATGCTGAAGAGTGCTCTCTAAGTGCCATCATTGCTTGTGGGCTGGCTATACAATGGTTTCACCATGCTGGTATATATTAGTATAAAGTCTTTACACTGTACTAGGGGTTTCAGTAGCACTTTGGAGATTAGGAAGGATTCTTCATGTTATGAGAACAGTGTTACTGTTAACATCAGAGATGGAAACAGTCACAAGTGACACCAAAACAGATCCCTGTCTAAATTGGTAAAAATGCAAAGGAGTTACCAGCTTCTGTATGTAATTATTTCAACTTATCTGGTTATTTGACATATAAAACAAACCAAGATGTTTTTTCTGTGCATATTTCTGTGAAGAACACATGCGTACTTGTGTGAAAAAGAAGACCTTTGGAATACCTGACAACCAGATTCCTTTTTTTTTTCTCTTCTGCCCTTTTTCTCCAACCACAACTTAGAAAATCCTAATAAAAATGCCAAGTGACGTAAATTCCATAAGTACATAGTTAAAACTGACAAATTAATTAAGGTAGAGAACTCTAATTGTACATGTGTACTTTTATAGGTGCAATGAGTGTATTTAAGGAAATTACTTATAGAATTAGATGTTCTCACTCATTCTTTCATTGCGTTTATTTTAATTTGCAGTGTTGCCACCATGCAAGGTATATACAGATAGCACCAGTTAAGTGGAGCATGCAGATGAGGTACTGCAGCAAGCTCTGGCTAGCATGTCCAGGCACTACATGCACAGGGGATGAAGTATTTGCCTGACTGCATCCATTGAAAAATTGTATACCACTGTGTAATAAAGTTTGCACATGTGAACATGTTAAAATAATGTCAAAAATCCAGCCACATGGTTATATAAAAAAATGATATAACTTTTTGGAAGAAATAAATGCATGTAGAGCTTAAAGTCGGATCACATATGGCAAACAGCACCTCGTGCTGTTGCCAAGCCCCACTCATTGTGGTGCAGAAGGGGCCCCAGGGAGAAGGCTGCAGCTCTCCACTTCCCTGCTTGTATGTGTCACTGCACAGGGTAACCTCCAACAGCTGGACTCTGTCCCCAAGCCCTTCCAGCATGGAGGGAGGGCCAGAGTGCAACAAACTCATCACCCCTCATAGACCACATTAGAGTTGGCCAAGAACAGTTTCCATGGCCCATGAACATCTCTGTGAGGGAAGACATCCCAGCCAGGAAAGGTAAGTAGTTTTAGCTCAGCCTACCTAGGGCAGCTAAGCCAGATGTGCTGCCACTTTGCCTTGAAAAAGACCCTGTCCCTATTTATGTGTCATAGTCCTGTGAATATTGGCATGATCAACTAAATCTGTGGTAAGGCCATTTCCAAACAATATAGCTTCCTTGGGTGATAAATGCCCTTCCCTGGTTTTCACTCATGGCTCATATTCCAAACCGCGTTATGGAAATAATTCATGTTAGGAGTTTATCCTAGCAATATCAGGGATGACATCACCTGTCTTACCCATGTCTGTCCTTAAGCATTTTTATGCTCGTCTGGCATCAATTACACATTCCATATTCTGAAGTGAAAAATATGACACTAATGTGCACATGAATAATGAAGCAAAGCCATTGGGACTTCTGGAGTGGAGTGCCTTGAAAGCATGCAATATCAGAGATTAAATATGTATGTGTATTTCCTTTATTATAAAGATATTTAATTCCAAAGGAGTTCTTAGGATTTGAGGTAACCTCCTATTAATCCAACCCAGACAACCTAGAAGGGTTTCTTTTTGCTTTTAATCCTCGCAACATCCTACAGAAACAGTATGATTTTTCCCTAGAAGACAGTGTAACCTGTTGAATAATTGACAAGTAGCCATCTGCTCAGTTCAGGCTCTTTTGGCAAAGACTGTAAAATTAGAAGGAAAACCTGATGATTGAAGTGAGCAGGGATGACCAAGAATGAACGATCTGTTGCCACTGCTAACTAAGGCTGAGGAAGGCAATTTATAATCTGCAGAGCTTACCTGTAGTTTCTTCTTCCTCTGATTCATTATCTTCATCATCATCATCTTCCTTGTCCTCATCTTCTTTTTCTTCTTCTTTTCCTTTTTCGACCCTCCCTTTCCCTCCCTCCCCCTCTGGCTCTTCCATTCTTTTCTCACCAGCCTCTTCTAGCATTTTATCCTCTTCCTTTTCTCTGCTGGCTGTTAAATTCATCATAGTTATGTCAGGCAGGCTTCCATCTTGGTGTACCAGTCTGTTGGTAAATAGTAGCATGTCAGTAAACTGAGCAGAAATCACATTGTAGTCTATTTCTTTTTCAAGATGTGTAATCAGAAAAAATAAACCATTCATGGAAGATGCCTTGGAAGTGGAAAAGTTAATGATTCTGGTACTTTCTCCAAACACACACTGCAAATTGAGCTGGAATGTATTAGTAACTACTTATCACTCAGATACTAATGGTTAGTTAGTAATGAGTGGTATTGACACTTAAACTTGACATTTTCCCCACTGGAGAAAATGGTCAGAGTTTAAGATGCAGAAGCATGAAATGACATTGTTTAAGAGGAAACATTTCATGACTTCATAGGGGACTTACTCATTTTGGTGGTTTGGTATTTTTTTCTTGAGGCTGCTCAAAGTAATTGGAACAGAAAGAAAAAGGGAGATGAGAACAGAGGGGTTACAGAAGAAGGTCACTGACAAATATGTCATGCTACATCAAAAGTCATAAAGCATTCTACTACTCCATCTGCAGAAGCCTGATGCCAAGAGCATGCCATCATGACATTCACAGGGTGCTTCTATAAAGAAACACGGAATTGCAGCACAGATGGAAAGGGGGCAAGATATTTACACCAGTGCTAAACATGGTCAGTGCTGTACCATACTGTCAGTAAATGCACCTGAATCATCACAAGTATCTGACCGATTACTGTAAATACATTTCCACCTTCTTCCAATTGAAAGATGCAGCTGGGAAGACAAGGAATTTGCAAGTATTCTTCCAGCAACAGGCTTGAGAACAAATAAAAGTAAAAATTCCATGGCTGTGGCTTCAGTATATTTTATCATGTCTGTCTTTGATAATGCCATACATTCTCTCTCTTTTCTGCATCTCACAGATAATTTTATTTAAATTTATAACTGTATTTTACTAAATACATTAGTAATTTTCAGACTACCAAAACTGAGATACATGAAAACGGTATTTTTGTATTGCCATGGTGCCAATTTTATATGAGATTTATTCAGCACATATATTTTATTTATCGAGAAAAGACACATTATCTTATGGCTTCAGATATGAATCTGATTTAACCATCTGATCACTAAAAAATAACAGCATAGGTTAAGCAGTTAATGAGAAAAACAAACAGAATTATTTTTCCAATATTTGTGAGTTGCAGTTTCTTCAAGATGAAAATTTTGGTGTCTCAAATGAAGGAAAAGATACAGAAACTTGATTAAAAAATCCTGAAGTAGTAATATCATAACAGTTACCAAAAAGCAGAAAAAATGGCTTAAAAGTAGAAGTTTAACATGACAGTCAAGCACAAAATAATCTCACTGAATAAATACATTCATTACAATGATTACTAAAATCCCCTATCATGGATTGGGCTATGAACACTCAGGTTCAGATAACAATCTGAAAATCTTTTATACTTAATAATATATTCAGTAGCTTTTACTACAGAAAATCAGGCTTTTTGTCTGATATACTTTATTTTCATATTTAAGCTAGCGTATATACTAAAAGGATATTTGAATCTCTGTAAAATGACTAAACAATAATATTCCCTAAAATAATCTAACTTTGCATATCTACCTAAAAGTCTAATAATGTACCAACAGGAGGGTCAAATATAAAGAAGAGAGAATGAATTTTCAATTGAGTTCAAATGTTAGGGAGATCCTCAGTTACCATAAATCATCACAGCCCATTTAAAAGGCAATGTCCCATGAAATGAAAGTGTCCATATAATCAGACAAGTTTTGCACACATGCAATTGAATTGATTTTAATAAGGTATCTTCCCAAGTGACTTTTATAATGGCAAAATCTACATCTGCACTGGTGTAAATCAAGGACTTAATGACTTACCTCAGTGCAAACTGGACAGAAACACAGTAACCCTATAGCATTTTGTATGAGAGAGCTCATCTTTCTCATATTCATATAACTCCTATTCGTATCCAGGAGATCCAGAAGGTGATGGGGTTATAAAGATAGGTACATGCAATATATATATACATATCTGATAAAGCATCAGTATAAGCTTAGTTCTCAGTATGTCGGCATTTAATTCTACTGACATCATTAGTCTCGAGCACAGGACTGTGTGCTCAGGCAATCCAAGGCCTGACCACCATTCAAAAAATTAGTCCACTTGGAATCTTTCTTCCCAAACCTCCTCATTTACTGGTAGGGTCATTATTCCATCTATTTATTTATATATTTATTTATTTCCCAGTACAAGATCACATGATACCATGTAACAGACAACACTGAGCTATTAGGATATAAAAACTGCACTAGTTTAAAATATCTAAGACAAGCTACCCATACAGGCTTCACAGCTAGTCAGGTATAACTTCAAGTTGAAAAGCACATATTAGTGGGAAATTATCAGAAATAACACACAGGTATAGTGTCGGATACTTAGGAAGAGAAATAACTAATTAATAATGCAGACAATGAGCCTTGAAGGTACAGTCACAAATGCTTTTAACTGAGCATTTCTTACCCTCAAATCCATTAAACAGGGTTTCAATAACGAGAAGTATACTAGTAGGTACAGTTTTAGGCACCAAAGCAATTTCAGAGGCACTATAATTAGGTATGTGCCCCAGGTCCTTGCTGGACTCCCAGTACTTTCATCTATTTGTAATTTGCTAGAGGAGACTAATAACTTAACTGGATGCATTATGAAGCATCTTTTGCCTTTGGTATTTTTTGCAATCAGTTTATGAATTGCTTGAAACTTTCTGTCCCAAAACAATTTCTCAAGTACCTGTCACACACAGGCTTAATAACAGAAATCTTTCTGCTCTGCAGAACGTTAGCAACTCATCTCCTGAATATCCAGCATGCAAGATTCAAACTGAGCACGCAGCGCCGTACCTTTACTGGCAGGACCCTGAGTGCTTTCCCTGCCCTTGCAGGGGTTTTTGCTGCCTGCATCCAAGGCCAGCTGGCTGGTATGTGTGGCCAAGCCTCAGGACAGGGTGTCCTTCTCCTTCCTTTGGGAGCTGCTTTCATGCTGAGGCTCTTGTCCCTACATCATGGCTGCATTGCAGCTGTCTCTGTGCCTGCTCCCATGCCTCTCTGACCTTAAGCTTGACACACAGACTGACTCCATGTCTTCACCTCTGATCTGGATCATGTCTATGGACTGGTTGTGAGCTCCTCAGGATGTGGCTGACCCTTGTTACCATCTCTGGATCTGTTTCTCACCCTCAGTTACTGGTTCCCATTCCTGACTCATTGTGGAAGAGAGCCCGCCCTTGCTTCCTGGTCATGACCTTCAGTTCACAGCTTGCCTGCCCTCACTGAGCTGCCTGCCCTCACTACTCCCTGACACATGGGCTTCCTAAAGACCTGGTTTCCAGCTCTGGTGAACTTTAAAGAACCCTAGCCTAAACTATGTGATGACATTTGAAGGGCGAACGTGAACATTACACATAAATTAACTTTTTGTTAAAGCAGGTAGTCACAAATATCTAAACAAGGGATTTTCTCATCTTTTCTGTTTATATTCAGTAGCTACAACAAACACAGAAGTTCTTCTAATCTCAGAGCTGATTAAACAAAAGCCCACATTTACTCCAGTCAAATGTTTTGAAAGAAATCTACTTTATGGAACCATTTTCAAGATGCCATTTAGAAAGGGATGATGATGATGGCAATATGGGCTTTTGTAGTTTGGATTTTGCAGCACCCAACCCATCTTATGAATTAACATCCTTAGCATCCAGTGGTTTCAGTGTACTGCATGTTCCATTTCTATCTCTGAAACAGGAAATCTCAGTCTGTACAAACTCGTAATATATACTGAACATTTAATTGACCTGGTTCTCAAATTCCCTTTCTTAGGTGCTTGTGAAGCAGATGGGGATGTGTGTCTCTGTGTGTCTGTGTGTGTATGTGTGCACATGCAAGCATGCACTTTTCCATGCACAAACAAAGGGTAGATAAACGAGCCTCCTCAACCAAGTCTGTTGTCTGCAGCCAATTACAAATAGCACCAATTATTCCTGTATTGAGGAATGGGCAAAGTTTAACAGAAGAATTCCCAGCTGGAAGATGAACTCACAGTGTATACATATGCAGGAGACATGTATTAACTGCTTCACCAGCTTTAGGAGACTACAATACCTGAACAATCTCTCCCTGCTTACTTCACAGTACTGTGCAGCAAGAATATACTTGTTTTAAGGCAACTAAGAAGTTAACAAGTTAATTAAGAATTAAAAAAAAAGTTAAGGTATATTTGTTTTAAAGGAAAGGAAGAGCTGAAGTACCCACCTATTAATTATTAGGTAAACACGACCATTGACTTTGGCATGACTATGAGGTGGGAGATGAAAGCACAAGAATGTGTGAGATGAAAATGGGAAATGAATTAGAGAGAGAGAGAAAAGGAAGACGTTAAATAGGAATGAATGCAGTTTCCTGTCTACCAAGAGAGAGAAACATTGTCATAACAAAGCACAATCTGAAAGCTTAACATACATCGTGCAGTGAGAAGTCTAGGAAGCTTACAAATGTAATACATAGACATTTAGACCATATGCAACTCCAGTTAGAACTCCAGGTTCTTTTCATAGCCTCCAAAATGTAAGAACAGCCTCTACTGCTTTATCTCAAGTAAGCCACAGAATATTCGGCATATTTTTAAAAACAGCCACTTTGCTTCTTTTTTTTACTTAAAGATTATTATGGAGTATCCTACCATAGAAATTAGATGCCTCACAGCCTTTATCTCTGCCATATCATAATTCATGGTGCAGCAAGGAAATGGGCTTGGGAAGTCCTAATCAGAGAATTTTTCTTTTTCTTGCAGATGTAAAGTTGACCTTTATAAATCACCTTTATAAACAGTGAGAAGTACCTCACTCTGCCAGTTCCAGTGTGCCAGTTTATGTCCCCTCCATTTGCAGGTGGCAAAGCGTCACTCAGTCTGCAAACCTTCCTCATGTGAAGCAGCATCTTAATACATGAACAGTCTCAGCAATTTTAACAGGACTCTTCAGTTAGACACAAACATAATAACATAATCATACATAGCCATTCAAGGGCAGATGGAGGGACAGGAACTGTTTTCCCTGTTATTTTCATGACTAGCTCTTACCTGCTGTGGTTGTTTTAACAAGTTCGCTATTAACAAGAATTGAGTTCTGTCTGCTTGCTCAAAATTAAGGTTCAGTTTCTTTATTTAAAATTTTTTGTTCTTTGCAAAAGAAGCAGCGTAAAAGCAGTTTTGAAAGGTAAACTAGCTGTTGAATGAATGCTACTGTTTTCAAAGCAAAAGGGAAAAGGAAGTTTTAGTGGTTTTGTAAGAAAATTGCACATATACACGTGTCTTTTATCTGTGTTTTAATTGTCTCTGCAACTTATTTCTATTGCTACTATTGTTGTTAAGCTGGAGCTGATTGTCATGCTAGTTCTTATCCAGCTTTATTCATCATCAATACAAACATTGGCTGAGTTCTCATCTTGAAGCACTGAGCTATAAAGTCAGCTGATGCTCAGTACTGATTTATCACATCAAGAGGGGAGAAAACAGCTGGATCTTCATATGTCAGTCATTGTTTATGGTAATAGAAACCAGAAAAAGTGTTTTGATTTGGCTATGGGACACACTTGTGAATGTTTCTGAGGAGGAACAAATGATATACATGATAGCTGTGATTCTGAAGTACTGCAAAATGGCAAGTGTAGAACATACACCACATTTAAGAGTTAAAAATATTGAGCTACTTATCTGACAGCTCAATACAATCTAGTACACATTTAGACTTTAAAAAATACCAATATAGTAGCAAAGCAAAAAAGCTATGATGTCACATGATCCTCTTCATCTTCCATTTTACTTCAGCAAAAAGCCTGGTGTGACAACAAATGTCTGCTTTCAGCACCCTATCTCAAGGCTACTTCTGGCAAAAATGTCACTGACTACTGATAAAATCTATATCCTACAAACATCTTCTCTGATACTAGTCTTTTATTCATTTTTTTTTTCTCTCAATAGGACACTGAAAACATTTTATGTCTTTAGTATCAGTGGTTCCATCCTCTGAGAATGATGTGACTGCAGTTAGAGTGACTCTGTTCCTAACAGGATTCGGAGAGCTGTAGCTAATATTTTGTTATCTTTCATGTATAACAAAAAGATTTTTAGGTAGTGGTTTCATAGGCAAAGTGTACTGTATCACGAACCCACCTAAACTCTGGGAGTTCCTCAGGGTCTTTTTTTCCATTTTCTGCCTACTGGATTGCACAAGGAGGGAGGTGGAAGTTTTTTCATAAGTGTGGGCTACAAAAAAGCTTGTGCAGCTACTGCAAACTGTAGCTCATTCCCCCACATGCCTCAAGAACAACCCCTGTTTCATCTCAGACACCTATCTGGTCTCTGGTTCCAGGGCTTGGCTGGAACCAAGCAGGTTCACATTAGCATACAGAGATGCTAATGTGCACCTGGTACTGCACAAAAACTCTGCTATGGGCAAAGAAAGTCTGCTCATAGGCCATTTCAAAGAGCTCTTGAAACTACCATCAGATTTAGCAATTCAAGAAAAGCAAAAGGCAAAAGCATTATGCAAACAGTCATTTAAAAGTCTAAGCTAAACAAAAATTATACAATATTGTTAGGAAATTTCATCAAGTTTGATTTGTTCTGGTTTTGGCAACTTATTTAAATACAGAAACCAGAAGCATTCTATAAACGTGGAGCTTATTCACATGCACTGCCAACAGGGAACACAAACATACTTGTAACATATACCGTAAAGTCACTTCATGTTAAGTTGAATGCATTAAAACTACCTGAAATGTATTTGTAAATCTAGCAAGGCCTCAAGAAGAATTATCTTTTAAAATAAACTGCCATTATTCCATTGTGGTGTGTGGGATGTTATGCAGCTAGTCCCCAGTCACAGAAGTACAGCTGAGTTACACATAATCACTGGATAGGTAAATACTCTAAAAATAGTGTTTAAATGAATTGGTTTCTTCAAAGAATTAGAGTAAATGTTGTTGCATAATATGATACTTTGTACTATGAAATTATTTCTCTCTCATGTACTCCTGGAGTAGGCCAGATATGTTTTTATGCAGGAGAATATGGGAGAGTTAAACACAGGAAAAGTGAGGTCCCAGAATCATGAAAAAATGCTAATAAACTTCTTAATGAGATCACTAAATATCTCAAAAAGGTAGCATAGTTAAGGGTCAGTACTTCAAGGAGTGACCACACGTTTGGGATTTTTCCATTTCTGAAGTTCAGCTTTACAAAAAGGTCTAATTGTCCAATGCAAATGTGGTATTTGCCAAAGATATCCCTATCTTCATTTAGCCCTCAAAATGGACAATGAAAATCAGTAGTGACCCAAATTAAAAGCCATATTTTCTATTATGGATAGGACTTACAAAAAGGCACACATAACAATTACGCATCTAACTCCCATTAAAGGTGAAAACCAATGAGCTAAATAAATAAATAATTATTATCAGTACCTCTTACATGAACCCCAAAATAAAAAACTTTAATGTGTAGGGGAAAGTGAGAGAAGACAGATACTTTTGTTGTGGTTTGTTTAGCGGGGTGGATACTAAGGCATGTTGATTATTTTTTCTTCCTTCTTTTTAAACCAGGTAGTCTTAGCCAAAGCAAATAACATCTAATTAAAAGTGAGCATTACAAGACAGTCAGAAACAGCATTGTCATACAAACAATGAATAGCTCCATTTACTTTGTTTCTTTACCTGTAGATAGTGTTGTCCTGTTTGCTGGTTACAGCTTTTAAATCAGTAAGCTGGAGAAATCGGTCATGGAAATAGTGAAGGTGTAAGATACACGCCAGTAGGAAGGAGGTGGGGATGAAGATGCGTGTGAATAGCTCAGCCACAGAAAACTGTTTTAAGCCAAGGTCTGCTAGTCTGGAAAAAAGAGCAAGCCACTAAGTCATCTTTTCACAATCTTTTCCTTGCCATGAGATATTATAACTTCTCATTTGGGATGGGTAATAAGGGGCTGGTACTTGTTATGTATTTTTATTTCTTTAATTCTTGTTAATTAAAGAAAGCTTCATGGTGCAAATAACTTGAATTTGGACTCAATAATGTAGACTGATACTGTAAATGTACAGATCTAAATGAATTAACCCTGCCACAGATCTCTTGAACCAGATGAGTTGCCTCTGACTGAAAGTCCTGCACTGGAGATCCACTCATTGCATATCCTTTCTTACATAGGCTCCTGTTGAGAAATGCCCAACACATCATGAGGAGGAAGAAACTCAGTCCTCCTTATTATCAGGAGGGCAGGTGCACCTTCATCAGCTCCAGAAATCCTGCAAAACTACCCTTAATCTCTCCATGGATCTTAATCCTATGATCAAAGAAGTAGATAGAAGTATTGGCACTGTATTTGAAACAGGAGTGATGCCAAGGCCTTGGCAGATGGGAGAAAATACAATACACCCCTCTCATGTTCTTGATGATCTCTATTGTGACACAAATAAATCTATGGCTTCAGAGCTGAGTGCTTAAAGTCATGCCATGGGATGGTCTCATGATGTTTTTACCTCACAAGAAGGAAATGTGCTCTCAGAATATTCCACCACACTGAACTTAAAAGAAAAAATGAAATTAAATGAAAACACTTACTTGTTTTCATCCAGGCCCGTCATGTTCTTCCACAAGCCAGGGAATGATTCAAACTGGTATGTATAGATGAAGATAAGTACCAACATTGTGTAAACAACCACTGACATCCAAAAGTATTTTAAAATTCTTCTCCACCATTCATAGTGTACCTGAAAATCACATACCAATGATGTTGGAACAAGCTGAAGGCAAAGACACTGACAAAAATACTGATGACACTGTACTGGCAAACAAAGACTAAGAATACTATTTTTCCTGGCCTGAAATGAGCAACGCTTACCCAAGAGCAGCAACTGTTCTTTGAGATACAGTTTTTACTCCTGATGTATATGCACCCAAGTACAGACTTCTGTGTAAAAATGTCTGTTGGGACATGGCCAGGGACACCTTCCAACACTCAGATTCTTCACCATTAGGTGATGAAAGTCCAGGAGGACAGGGGCTACATGCTCACTGGGGTGTGGAAGCTGTGTGGATCAGCTGTCAAAAATGCTGGTGGCTATGTAAGATGTGCACAGGCCCAGAATTTTCCCACACAGGCTCGCAGTGATGTGGGGTAGAGTCCCAAAGCAGAGGTGTGTACTCTATGCACCTAATTTATGTTCACTTTGCCTGTCACTATAATCTAAAGCCAAAGGAGAATTAGTCTTAAGCCCTTCAAATGATCTTACTATGTTGTACCTAACTAAAGAACAAACACACTCTGTATGAATTCTGTTTGGAGCTACTTTATTACCAAGTTAAAGTATGAACCCTTGTACTAAACCCAAAATTTAGTTAACACAGCTCTCACTTACCTGATAGAGGGCCACACAGAAGAGGAACAGTACCATATAGATGATTTTGTACATGACAATTCTACCCTCAAAGCTGACAAAGAAGAACATGCCCCCACAGACGTAAATCCAGTACTTGATGAACATAGCCATCACCAGCTTCCCCAGGACTTTCATAATATCCTGTTCATCCTCATCATCCTCTTCCTCCTCCTCCTCCTCCTCCTCCTTTTCTTCCTCTTGTTCTTCTGCCACATCTCCCTCTTGTAACTCCTCTTCTGCAAAAGAGAGTCATATTTGGTCTCTGTCTGGTTTGGGGACTTTTAGTAAGAATTGAAACGGGTGAAAATTAAAAACTCTGCACACAGCTTAAACTTAAACCACAATATTCACATGAGACTGTATTTCTGAATTATACATGCGTCCAGAGCAGGCGAAAGAGTTTTAACTTCATATGAGCTTTAACCTACTCCTGGAGCCATATGGTGCATAGCTATACATCCTTACCAGACAGTCATCTTTACTTTGTCTAAAATGCAGGCAGTTGTTGTGGAAAATTAGAGCCTAAGGGTTGTATAATGGTTAACAGTCAAAACACTTTCCATGGTAATACCTATAGTCCCAGGCAAGAAACCTTTTAAACTGGAAAACAAAGAAACCACCTACGCCACCAGAAACCTCTCATCTTGAGTTTAACGTTTAAACAACTTTCATCTTGAGTTTGAACCTCTTATGTCGAGTTTCATCCTTTAGAGAATATTGTGGTTACCTCCAAAAACCACAAGCAAGAGAAAACATTAACATAAAACCAAACAAGCTTAAAAAATATAAATGCTTCATTAACACTGCTGTTTTTCAAAGAAACTACCACTTTTCCAGCTTATTCTGCTGTACCTGAGCCATTGCAGAAAAGATAAGCTGCTTTTGCCCTATGAAGATGTCAGGATTCCCTAGTTATGTACTTTGCGAGCCTTGCAGAGGGCAAGGTAAGTGTCCCACCAATAGCAAGTACACATAAACAAGTATCTGGATAACAGGGCTTGTCAAACTCATAGTACGTAATTGTAATGCATTTCTTCACATTAAGATAAATATTGAGACTTCACCATCAAAAGGCTTGCCCACTCCTTTTGTCCCACTTATCATCCCTCTTCTCAGACTCTTTCCTTGCTCTTGCCTTGCAAATTCTCGCAGTGTCCAGCTCTAACACTGACCAGACATTTTACTGAGACAAATACTGCAATACTCAAACAGGAAGCTACATCACTGCTTCCCAGGCTAGCTTTCTACCATTTCAGTGAGTTGAACTTGTTCAGCTCAACATCCAGAGAGACAGAAAAGAGCAAGAAAGGTTTGGAGGAACATATGCCCAGTAGCAAAAGAGAGAACAGGCCACTGAGCTGTTAGATGAGTGGAAACTAGCAGTAAATTTTGCTTTCAGGTATGCTTCTGATAGCATAAGCCCCTGCACTGAAAATATACATGCTTACTTTCCCATTGAAATTAGTAATTTAACTTCTGGTTTTGTAGAAGTGTTTATGTACAAACACAACATCCAAGGAATTTAGCAACCGACTTTTCCTATGTAAACTCTTCTTCTCCTGTGGTTAAACTTTTACAGCAATTAATCTGCTGGTTTGGTTTGGGATACAGGAGTAAACTGATTATTTGGAAGTTCCATGACTTTTCTCAAATGAGTAACTTCAATTATTTTCCTTTTTTTTTTTTTTTTTTTTTTTTCAGTTCAACATTAAGGAGAATTCTCACTTTATTTGCATTTCTGAAGTTCAAAGGTGCTTTATTTTTATATCTTGAAAGATAGCTGCACATAGATTTTGTATATCTTCCTTAGCTAATAACAGGCATCTTGTTACTTGCTTTCAGCATTACAGAAATGCAAGAACTGTAACTTCTATCATGACTGAAGGACTAAATTGGATGTGGCTTTACCTTTTTCTTCATTTTCTTCATTTCCAACTTTGACCTCAGATAAAGTAGCTTCTTTTAGCTGAAGTGCTTTTTGTTCAGTGAGGTGTTGCCTAAGCAGTAGCCAGAAAGTAATTGTGAAAAGAATCTGCAAACAAAAATCAAAACAAAAATAACAGACTAATTGTATATTCTATATCTGCTAATATAAATATAATTTTTCATAAATTTTGCATGCATTTGTTTTCTCTGTCCATCAGAAAATGGCACCAATGGCATAAGTGTTAAAGTGCATCTTTGTGGAAGTTTAGTCATTTAGGAAACATCCTGCATTAAAACCAATTTTATTTCATTTAGACTTTTCCATTGAGTGATAATTCTTCACTCTACAACTTTTCTTAAAGGTATTTACCTATATGGTTCTATTGTCTCCTGTTCTATTCAGTATTTAACTCCTGTCTTATAAGTTTAAGATAATTCTCATTATATATTGATTGGTATAATTTCCATCTGTCCATTTTTCTTCATTTTTCCCTTTTTGCAGGGAAGAAGCACAGGCAGGTGAATATTTGGGATATATCCTAAGTCTTTTGATTTAGGAGGTTTGGTACTTCAGGTGTTTAAACACAATTAATTTAAAAATTAAAAAAAAAAATATTTTAATGTCTTTAAGTTACAAAACACAGTCAATTGAATATGCCTTGCATTTGGAACAGTTACAAGATTTAAGATGGCTCATAATTTTTTGAAGAATAATTCTATGACAGCAGGATACCTTAGAAACAAATGCATCTCTTTAACAAAGACCGTATTTCTGTGTTCTGCTAAAAGCTAAATTCAACAGCTTGCAATACTGAGAAATGTCCAAAATTCAGAAAAGAGCATGATGCCTATTCATCACACACTTGATTTTATGTTCTGCAAAGTTTCCACTGATTTCAGTGGGGCAGAACAAGGGTTATTTCACTACTTTATAAGCTATAAGAATAAAATCTCAATTAGGAAACCTGTAAGAGCCAAGTATTTTGCGTAAAACAGAATGACGAGGCTAGTAGTACAACATAAAGAACTCTCCTGCTTTTCATCTAACCTGCAAGTACTTTGTGGGGGAAAGGAGAGATCCCAGGGTAGTGCCAGCTGTTTTCACTGACTCTGTGTCTAACGCTGAGCTGAAGCAGACTGTCAGCCTGTGTGAATTGTCAAAGCTTCTCCAGATACCTCTTGGAGCTCCGGCTTTTGCAACACAAACAACTGATACTGTAAAACACAGATTTATTCTGCAGGGATTGGCTCTGTCTCCTCTGCTGCCTTTACGCCTTGTTCTCTTTGGCATTTCCAGAGCCAGAGTTAGCTCTAAGAAAAGTCTTGAAGGGTTGCAGATCAACGGACTGCTTTTAGTCCACCTTTTACAGTATCCATTTGTCCAGGGTTTGGTTAGCATAGAATTAATTGTTCACAGGGAACTGGGAGGGGAGCAGCTGGGGCAGCTGACCCAAATGGGCCAAAGCGGGTATTCCATACCATATGACGTCATGCTCAGTGCTTAAACTGGGAAGTTCTGGGAAGGGGGGGGCGGGTATCAGTTACCGCAGTTTGGAAGCAGGTCAGGTGGTGCCGTTTGGTTCTGCGTATCACTTGTGTTGTATATTCTTTCATTAGTATTGTTGTTATTGTTTGGTGTTGTTTCTCTCTTCCTTACCATTCCAGTAAACTGCTCATGTCTCAACCTGTCAGGCCTGTTCATTTGTATTTTCTCCTCCCCATCCCACCAGAGGTTGGGGGGAAGAGAGCCTCTGTGGTTAAACCACCACACCATTTTATTTCCTTTTCAGACCAGGAAACACACAAATAGCATGCAGAAAATTATGCAGAAAGAATTACAGTATATTTCATTCTATTGTTCTCTTTTTGGAGATTACAGTATCCAATCTTTATTTAACTTCAATGTTTATTCAAAGGACTTTAAACTAGGAATAACGGGGAAGGACAGAGTTACTAGCAGCCTTGAGAGGGAGTGATGGACAGGACTGACAAGCAAAGGGCATGTGGGGTGATGTAAACAAAAGGAAACACATAATCAACAAAACAGGGCTTATGTGGCGTCACCTCAAGCATTTTTATGTAAGCAAGGAAATGCTTTCAAGACACCATTAGTGTCTAGTGGGGTCCCTCAAGGGTCAGTA